AAACCAAAAAAAAAAAAAAAAAAAAAAAGATTTGCTTTGAGGCCAGGTGTGGCAGCACACTCAGGAGGCTGAGACTGGAGGTTTGCTGTGAGTTCAAGGCCAGTCTGATCTACATAGTGAGTTCAAGGATAGCCGGAACTATAGAGCAAGACCCTGCCTCAAAAAAGGAAAAAAGAAAAAAAAATTGCTCTGGGGCACAACTCTGAGAAGTATAACCCTGCTTTTGCAGAAAGGGAAACGGAGGCTCAAAGAGAAACACAGAGTGGGGGCTCAGAAGTAACTGCACCTGGCTCCAAAGCCCAGGCCATTTCTCCCAGTAACTTTCCCTTTGTCTGCTCCCACTAAACTGTCCCATTTTTTTCAGTTAAGAACCAGCTGTCAGAGAGGATGGGGGGGCTCCATTGCCACCAGATGGGGCATGGCAAAGACTACCCCACCCTGCCTGCTTTGCTGGAAGGTGTCCCAACCCAACAGGGTGCCAGGAAAGCCCACCAACTACAGATCAGAGAGAGGCTATAAAGGGCAACCCAGGCCGGACGCAGCCCCAGAAGCTGTGCTCGCAGGACCTCTGGGGCTCTCTCCCCACGGGACATTCCGAGACCGCCAGGCCTTTGCCTGGAAACCCACGTTCACTCCCGGGCCTAAGAGCCCAGGACATGTGGGTGAGTCCTGGGCACCTTCAGGGTCAGCGTGGACCCCATATCTCATTTCTTCCCATCACCCGCTTCCTTCTGGAAAGTATGGCACAGGTGACCACACTGGCCATATTTGGACCCCCAGCCTGTGACCCAGGCCAGGAAGTTTTCCTGTAAAAGGTAGCTAGCAAATGACTTTGGCTGTGAGGGTGACACAACCTCTCTGACACTCTCCCCCCACAGATGCGTTGCAAAAGCAGCCAGGCCCAGATGCGCCTCCAGCGGGCGTGACAGCCTTCCAACAAAACTTTATTTTACTACAACAGGTGACTGCCCCGCGGTGGGTGTGGTTTGTTTCGGGGGCGGGAGACCCAGGCGCCTGAAACTGGTCCAGCACCCTCCACGAGGTGCCCCACACATGCTGAAGGGCGCGCCTGGCCCCTGTGGCAGCCTTAGGAAAACCACGTGGCTGAGTCCACCCAAGGCAGCGTGTCCGATGAGCCCATGTGCACTGCGGTGCTGTGAGTCAGGCCCGGGGATGGATGCACAAGTTTTAGTTCACGACAGACTAAAAACCACACTTCACGTGCAAGGTGGCCTATGTGGTGTGAATTACGTCTCAATAATGCTGATGAAAGGCAGAGCAGAGCCCGGGTGTCCAGGAGAGAGAAGTAATAATCCTCTCTGGTGTTTCATCTGTGCCTCCAGGGCCCAGGGAAAGTCACTCGGACTCTGGGCCTTGCACATGCTAGGCAAGCACTCTACCACTGAGCTACATTTAACCTCATCCCCCGGAAACTTTACCATTATTCTGGCCTTGAACTTGTGATCCTCCTGTCTCATTCTTGGGGAATTACAGGCATGCACTACCACGCCCAGCCCCAAATCCCTTTTGTCCGGAGTGGGTGATAAGAATTAAACTGAACTTGCCCTACCACTGAATAGCACCTTTCAAATGCCTTTTAATTTAAAGGGTGGGGCCCGGGATGTAGCTCAGTGGTTCCACCACCTGCCTTGCATTCTCAAGGACCGGAGTTCAATACCTGGCACCACCTGGCACCAAGAATAAAAACAAAACCCCCACTTAAAATGATTACACAGTTTATTCCTATTAATCAAAGGGAATTTAGGAAATAGGTTTAAGCAAAAAGCAATTTTAAAATGGCCCTCTATTTACCCACAGTCCAGGTTTTTTTTTTTTTTTCAGTAATGGGGATTGAACCCAGGGCCTTCACACTGAGCTACATCCCAACCCTTTCTTATAACTTTTTAACAATTTTGAGACAGGGCCTTACTAAGTTGCCCAGGTTGGGTCTGAACTACAGGCATAGTCCACCACACCTGGCATACAGCCCAGAATATTTTTTTTTTTTTTTTTTTTTTTTTC